GCAATCTGTTTGTCAGCACGAATAATAAGTTAACTTTAATATCTTTATGAACAACTTCAAAAACTTCTCCTACACTAAAAATGATAATCTTAGAAATTTTTAATTAATTTTTTAAAAATTTACATTAAAATTAATTTTATAATAATTTAGATCGGAAATTTTTTTATAATGTTATCTAAATTTAAAATATTTCAAATCATTTAATTTTACAACTTTATTACATTCGTTAATTTATACACCCAAGCAGATTTAAAGATTAAGACAGAATTAAATTGTACAGTGATGTTCTTAATTTATCCTTTATATTTTAACAACTGTGTTTTGAAAGAAAAAAATAACTTTAAGCCCTTGCGTTAGATGAACCATGAATTGTATAAATTAATTCTTTTATCCACTGTAGAAAAGAATCAAATATGTTTTTGTTGTTAAAACGTACAGAATAAAATTGTGTATAATAATCAATCATTAAATAAGTAAATAACTTTAATTACATATGAGCATATTACAATCTTTCATAAACTGGGTATTAGGTTAATGTTTGCTTTCCCTCTTTACATTATAGTGTTTAAAAAAATTTCTGATAACTGTGTTAATGTCCCGGAATTTATAAGCCAGGATAATGACAATTTGCCATTGTACAGCATTTAACATTACTTTAATTTAACATTTCGGCCTAAGACATTTACTTTCCGCACAAAACATCAGGATTTCTTGAAATAACTAAGGTAAATGTAAATAGTTTATGTTATTAATGATTTCAAGAAGTCAGGAAAATGACAACATAAAAACCCACTCACCTTGTAAAATTTTTTGAAATGCATTTTGACTCAGAAAGTTGATTCTTGATTCGTGCAATTAGACATGTTCTGATAGGATGGTATTCTAATCAATCTCTTAACCTAAGATATTGATTGCTGGAGCTATCTATTTTGGTTATAAATTACTTTAAAAAAGTCGCTAGGAAAATGACTGATTTTTATGTGACAAACAAATTATTGACAGAAAAAATTCTTTTCAACAAAATTTTTGGAAATAATACCATCTGCATATATTCTAGAAATGCTTACAATGGATGAGATTTAAAAAAAAATTACAGATTGAAAAATGTATGGGAAGTTTTGAAGCTAGTTATAATTGGAAATATTGTTTGTGTCATACCAGGAAAATGACATTTTGATATTCAATTAAATTTTTCAACTATACAAAACAGTCAGTGCTAGTTCTAAGTCATTTTAAAATGCTAACAGCAATGCCATTAGTTAATTTTTAAGAAAAAGTTCGTTAAGTAGTTTAGTATTAGATCTTGGAGCAAAAGACTGTCAATTGTCATATTTCGTGAGAATCACCCACATTTGAATTATAACCTAATTCCCCACGGATTGTTTTTTGTTGGGTCTACATTTTTTCCACGACGAATATATTGCACGTAGTAACTATACGGCCTTTTTTTAAATGTTCAAATTTGTCTGTCAGTCAACCATAACCTCTGGGTTATACAGGATAGAATCCAATAAAATGACTACATGTTATTTTATTTGCGATATTCTTTAAGATATCTGTACTTAACCTTAAAACTAATACTTAATTTTTTCCCTTCTTTAAAATATGTAAGAATACCTCAATACAAAGCATCAATGCAGAGTTTCAAATTCATTATCATCAAATTATATGAATATCCACTCAATCTTTATTCGGATGGCACGTTTTTCTCTCTCTATGTTTATAGATCAACAACAAGTACTATATTTTCAATACAAATGTAAACAAAAGCAAATCTCCAGCTCCTTAATCTTACAACTTCCTGTTAGAAAGTTTACAGCTGCTTACTAAAGCTTATTGGGAGAGGCGATATTTTCAAACACATAATTTTATTTCAAATAAAAGAAAGAAATAATATAATTTCCGAGCTCAAATCTGCTGCATTTCATACTATATTAATGTTCTGAAATAATTTATGTGAGTTTGATGAGAAAATTTGTTTTAGTTATTTATAGATATGTTATTTAAAAAAAAAGCAACATGGTTGTTATATTTAGAAAGAAGTCGTTTTTATGGCACTCCTGATTTGGGTCTTTTAGACTTGTTTATGACTATTTAAATACTATTTTTTTTAATGCAGTACACCATGCATACGTTAGTGTTAGTCTTTAGTTAAAGTAACGAGACAAAGTTTAGCTCGCAAATTATCATTTTGATTTAAATTAGTATATTGTTAACAAAATAATAACAGTATTATAATAACTTTTATTCTAATATTAATATAAGTTTTTATTACCTCTCAAACCACATGTCTATTATCGCTTCATAATTTATGTATAATATGATTATTAAACTTGTCTTTTCCTTCTTAACAACACATTGAACCAAATGGTCTCAAAATGCAGAGGTGGACAAAATAATGGAAACAGTTTTATACAAATACATTTTTCATATTTCTCAAGAAATACTTAACGAATCATTTTTATAACTTCAGAAGTGTTTAAATCATGCAATTTCTCATACATATCAATGAAGTTTTGAGCTCTTAGAGGTTTGAGGGACCGACAATAAATTAATAACGGAAAATAGAGTTTTTGAACACTCTATACCAAAAAATATGTAGCAATAAATTTGTAACTTATAACAATTATCTTGGATATTATATGAAATAGTTACGCTACATTTTGTAAGCCTAGATTAAATATTTATGGAAATATGGACATTTTTATGTAAAAAAATTGTCTTGCGCTTTTTGCTATAACTTAAAAAATATTCAATAAAATCAAACAAAATTTTTTAGAGCAATTTAAAATTAATTACAAAATTTTTGCTTTAAAATTTGAAAAAAAAAATTTGAAAACTGCTCAATATATAAGTAGTTCCTTGCGCTGGAAAAATTTTAATTTTTCTTTTCTTAATTCTGTAATAAATCGTGTTTGGCAACTAAAGAAAAAAGTCCCATTTGAATATCTTAAAAATTAAAAAAGTTTCAGGCAATTTTTTAAGTTTGTTTTTGTATTTTTTAAAAGAAAGCTTTAAATGATAAGGGGTTTTCTACAAATATTATTTTGTATTATAAGACAAAATTAAGTAATAAATGATAGCACCTAACAATAAACGTTTATATACCAAAATATCATTGTAAAAGAAAAGAAAACAGGCGAAAAAAAAAGATTTTTTCGTGGGGGATGATACCCAACAATACCAGTATAATTTTTAATAAATTGTGCTTAATAGTGCAAAAGAAATTTGTGGAAACCCCTTATCACTTCGAGCTTTCTCTTAAAAAGTACGAAAACTACTTAGAAAATTGCTTACAAATTTTTAGATATGATTTTTAAGATTGGCTTATGGACTTTTTTTATTAGTTGTCAAATACAATTCACTACAAAATTGAGAAAAGAAAAATTTGAATTTTTCGTGCTCATACGCAGTGTAAAAGAACTACTTAAATTACTTATACATTGCACAGTTTTCAAAAAAAAAATTTCAAATTTTGAAACAAAAATTTTCTAATTAATTTTAAATTGCTCTAAAAATTTTGCTTAATTTAATAAAATATTGTTAAACTTTTAGCAAAAAAAAAATTAGTTTTCATAAAAATGTCCATATCTCCATAAATATTTAAGCTTGGTTTACGAAATTTTCTGAAATTATTGCATTTAATAACCAAAATAATTGTTACAAGTTACGGATTTATTGTTATAATTTTTAGCAAAGGTGTTATATTTTTTAGCAAAAAAATCACTATTTTCAGCTTGTAATTTTTTTGCCGGTCCCTCAAAAATCTAAAAGCTTTAAACTTCATTGGTAACTACTAGAAATCGCATAACCTAAACACTTCTAAAATTATTCTCTAAATAGTTTTTGAGAAATATCAAAAAATGTGTTAGCATAAATATGTTCCATAATTTCGTCCAACTCCTGTAAGTCGGATACAGTAATCCGAAAACTTAGGCGGTAAAGCTAAGAATACAAAAAGTTCCCTAAGTATATTCTTTGGATAAAGGGGGGCCTGCAACGCTCTCTAGTGTAGGAAACACCATCCATAACGTGAGGAGCATGATATACAATTATATCCTCTTTAATTCATTTAATGAAATCAGAAGGATATCTTTATGACGTGATTTTGGAGTTGTTCAATTTTTCGATACGCAGGATATAAAAAAAAATGGCTCTTATATTAATTTAAGAAAATTATAAAAATGTTCTATTATTAATAAATAATTTTTTAGATCTCTACATAGTTTTAACTGAATTTCTATTTAACTGAATGCTAATGAAACTATGTGTTAAAAAAAGTTGCCAAATAATAGTAAAACATTACAAAAATGCCTTTTTTATTTAAACGTTATTTTGAAAGATGGAAATAAAATAATTAAGAGACCCTTCCTCTTCTGACTGAACTCAACTATCGAAAAGGTGGAGACGGGGAGGGATAATTCTAAATATGTTTTTGTTCCACTTTATTTCATTTTCACAAATAAAGTAATGATGAATAATTAATTTATTTGACAGTGTCTTTCGATACATGTAAAATACATAGCCGCCACCCAATCACAGTTTACGACATAAAGTGCGGTATTTCTGATTTTCTATTAATTTTTTCAGAGAAAATTATGCCAATACAATTCTTGCGCAATGCACAGCTGTTTTATAAAACTGCACAATGGGCTATTGGCGTCGGTTTGGGAAACATACCTGAGAATGATCCGAAGACATGCCATCACAATTTTGATCCTCTGCAGGGGGGGGGGGCTTTGTTAGCCCGACGACATGCGTGTGAAGTCGAATACTTTACGGTAGAACTGTTTAACGAGGACATACACCACGCACCCTCAGTTCCAACGCAGACTGATCAAAATGGTCATCCACCTGTTCACTGACCGCTGCCAGTGATGCTTGACTTCAAGGAGCCGTCTCTTATGATCAGTCCTCAATGGGACAAATAATTTAATTATATTTGTTATTTCATTAATATATACGTAACGATTTCTCCATTTTTCTCTTTTTAATCAGGGTGCAAGCATAGCTATCGTAAGCGACATGATGTATCCCACAGCAAGAGATTCCGCATCTATAGGAAATGTTTCAGATGATGAAGGTTTATTCGTAGATAATGATTTCCCACCGTCTGCAACAACTTTATACCATAGCCAGAAGTCAAAAGATAAAAATGTCATTTGGTTAAGACCCCATGTACGTATTAAATTTCTATTTCAATTGGATAATCTAGACAATAAATATTTTAATGTCATTCTAATCAAGAAATAAGATTTTGGCATAATCCCTGAATCACGCAAGAAACACGAATCCGTCACTTCGACGAATGACAGATCTTGTTTTTGGCTCAACGATAGGACGATCTTCAATTGCAAACAATGGGAACTAGAGTTAAAGGTAAGCCTAAGATCTGATCGCTTGACTGAGTGGAAGAGGTTTCCAAAATTCTAAGAATTACTAACTGGAGAACAATCGCAAGGAAAAGAGCAGACTGAATGAAGGTTTTAGGGAAGGCTCTTGCCCACAAAGGGCTGTCATGCCAATAGGAGAATCTAGACAATAAATATTTTAATGTCATTTTAATCAAGGAATAAGATTTTGGTATCGTCCCCGAATCACACAAACACGAATCTGCCACTTTGGCGAATGGCAGATCTCGTTTTTGGCTCTACTATAAACTCAAAAACTCTACTCAAATTTAAAAAAAGAATTAAAATTTAAAAAAAAAGAATGCGACGCCTTGAGTTAATATGATACAAAAAAGGATTGTCTTATTTGAACCGGTGGTGATGTTTAGATTGGGTAACTATAAAGCTTTCAAGTACACTGCAAAATCTGTTATGTAATATCTGGGCAGATCTCTAAAACCTTTAACTTTTGATAACAAAAAAAAACATTAAAAAATAATGGGCACACTATTTTTATACCTCCAGAATTGTTTGAAAATGCATAAAATATCAGAAATTAATCGTGAACATCAAAAATTTTGATGCCCTTATAAGTATAAACAAAAAATTAAAATTTTTGAACTAATTTTTCTACGTTTATAATCACAAACAGTCATTCGATGAGGTTACAGTTACGATGTCAAGACCGTAATCAGACGCAGATCTAAAAAGTAAATGTTAAAACCAATCAAAATTTAGATCACACGTTTGTCATTGTCTAATTTATTTTCTTTATTATGTGCATCGCATTGCGTTGCATCTGTGTCAAGTTTCCGATCTATTCTCTAGGTTGTCCTGACCGTAACCTCAGGATTAATTAATTGAATTTAACATATCAGAACTTAGTTTTTTCCCTGTGTTTTACTAATTGAAGATATTTTTTGACTGAAAATAATTAAAGTATGCCTTTTTATACATTTTATGACAATTTAACTTAATATTAAAATTTTTCAATTCATTTATGATACTAATAATTTTTGATGAAAAATAAAGGGTGGGAATAAAGGGTACTGTGAATATGGATGAAATTATTAAAAAGAAAAAATTGCTCAATAAAAGAAAAATAGGTTCAGTAAGTTTATTAAATTAATGATACTTTTGTCGTTTTTATGATTTTTCATGAAATGTATATAAACCTAGAAAAATTAGTTCAAATACTTAAATTTTTTGTTCATACGTATAAGGGCATCAAAATTTTCGATGTTCGCGATTATCTTCTGATATTTTATGCATTTTCAAACAATTCTGGAGGTGTAAAAATAGTGTGCCTATTATTTTTTATTATCAAAAGTTAAAGGTTTTAAAGATCTGCCCATCTCTCTAAATTTGCTGTTGAACGACCCACAAAATTGTGTGAAGGAACTCTTTATTTCAAGTTAATACCAAATCGAGCTTTTTATATACAATTTAAATGGTGTAAATAAATCTAAACACTTATAATGGGAAAAGCTTACACCAAGTTCACGTACATCCTACGTAGTTTGAAATGACTTTTACTGTGGAATTCGTTTCTAAAATAACACTGTGCTGCATGGGATAAAAACCTGACACCATTCCTAATATTTCTATATAAAATGGCCACCTGAATCCGAATATGAGACCCGTTTTCCTCCATAATCCACCATTTCCACACAATCTCGCCTCCCCATATTTATCCTTTTTCAATAATTTTATGTCAATAAATTTAATTTAATGGAAGAAAAAATAATTATTTTTACCTATTAAACTTTTTTAGGGGTTAGGAAGGATAAAAAATTCCAAAGCATGAGCATATGTAGCAAGGAAAAAAAAAAGTTTTTTTACGTAAATTTTTAAAGTTATTTTCCACGTTTTTCTGCTTGCAATCCTTTTTTTTTCTCTCCCTAACACCCGCTATTAAGAAAGAGCCACAATTTTGGCTAAGAGGGGGTGAAGAGGAGAAGTGATAAAGCCCTCGAACATGGAACCTCCTGGAAGGGAAAAAATTATTATTTTAATAATTACATTTTAGGGCTTCAGGTTAGAGAAATTCTGATATATGTACATTTGATGCAAAAAGGGAGAATTAGGGGGAATTCCCTCTAAAAATGTAAAAAAATAATTTAAAATGGAAGACTTTTCTAGTTTTTTTTTTTCGTTATTTTTTAACTTGTTCTTAAGAAATTCAAGCTCTTAACGCTTTTTTTTTCTCCCTGAGATAATTAATATATTAAGTAAGTGTTTATTAAAAGCGAGCGAGCGGATGATGTCAGGAAGCCCAGCCCATGTACAATGAATCCTCCAAATTTACTCCTTGAAAGTTTTGGGACCCCCCCCCCCAAATTTTGTTCAAAATTTTTGGAAAATGTTTTTAGGGGACGAAAAAGGGCTAGAGCTTTAATATCTAGAAAAGAATATAAGAGATTGCGGGGAAAAAACCATAATAATTTATCCTTTTTAATGATTTTTTCTACAGTTTAAGGGAGGAAATCCTTAAAAACTCCCGATTTGCTACAATTGTTCATACACAAGAACTTTTCGCCTTTTTAGCTCCTCAGAAAAAATTTAACAAATAAAATAACTATCGGTGAGGTCCTGGAGATCTAGTTAGGCTGTTTCACTACAACAGTGTTTTCCAAAGTGTGGTACGCGTACCCCCTGGGGTACGGGAACTGTTTAGCGGGGGTACGCGTTTTGATGTGAAATATCTTGCAACAAACGAAAATTTCAAAATTTTTTATTGAAAAACAAAGTTAACCAGGAAAATTTATGATTACGTATTTTTCTATTGTCTATTTTTTGCAGAGTTTAAGTTTATAATTAATGGTGTCATTTTTAACTTTCGTACAATTTTGTTATAGTAAAAATTATATTTATTTTTTTATTAGTGGCACACAGCCTTACGAAAAGTTTAGAAAAGGTACACGAAAGTTATAAGTTTGGGAAACACTGCACTACAAGAACGCTTCCTGACCTCTCCTCCTCCCCCTTTTTGGCCGAAATTGGGACAAAATATTTTTGTTATTAAAGAATTACAGGCTTCGTAGTGGGTCAAAAAAATATCAGGACAACATTAACTAAATCAAAGTCAGAAAAAGTTTTTGGTGTACTCTACCTATATCGCAGTTTTTAAAAAGGGCAAACGGCAAACTAAAATAACTATTATTTGCTCTTTATTCGACGTAATAAAGACAAATTTCCTTGCAAAAGAATAACAAAACGTGCTATTTTTAATTTCAAAATTACTTTGTTTAGAAGAGAAAGTTTTAACAGTTACCAGTACAGTTTTATTAACATTAAATAATTAATAAAAATTTGGGTGCAATATAAACACATATTTTATAGTATTGTTAAAAAAATAACTAGTACTATTTAGTTAACATTCTCAGAAACACATATTTCATAGTACTGTGGCAGTAAAAAATAACTAGTACTATTTAGCTAACATTCTCTCATATCAATAATTTAAAAAAAGTAATAATGGAGTTCAATCAAATAATTTTACATACGGTTCCAATAATATCGAAAACCCAATAAATATGTAGCTTAAAATTTTTGAATTAAAGTAATTTTCGCCAACTGTAAAACTACAAAATAATTATCAAAAATAAGATCCTATTTTTATTATTATCTTTGAAGTTTCACAATTACTGATTCGTCCTAATTGATTTTAAAACTGATTGATTCAAATCAACAACACAGCTAACATATCGTAGAATTTTTGAATGGGGAAAATTACTTTTGTTCAAAAAAGCTAAGTTACATATTCACAGAGTCTTCGATATTATTGAAACCACTAAGTGTGGCTCCTGAACTTATCACCATAAAAGTTCCATAACATAAAATTGTTAATTGAATTATTTTTTTCATTAAAATTACCTCAAAATCTTCATTTTCTTCAACTGTTGATGTTGAGTGCAAGTGTTGTTTTCTTATGAGGGGCTGGAGAAGAAAGGTCATGGGGAAACACGGGCGTCATATACGAATTTAGTTCATTTAATATATATATAAAAAAAATGTTTTGCAGCGCAGTGTTACTAGCTCATACTTCTTTGTGTATTGTTTCTGAGAAATATTGCTCGATTATTTTTTAGTGTAGAGAATGTTTAATATTTCTGTTGTTGCTTCATTTATTTACTTTACTAATTGAGAATTCTTGCAGGAATTAGTTGCCAAACCAGAATTATTAGTTAATGGTGTAAGCCGACATGATATTGTTCAAGGTATTCTAGCTGACTGCTGGTTTTTATCTTCATGTGCAGCTGTTGCACAAAGACCCGATTTAATGGAAAAGGTAAAAGAAAATATAACATTCATGGTGATTTTCTTTTTCAAATTAAAATTAAATTTTGACTCATGTTCGCTATAATCCGGAATTGCTGACGCAGTTCCATACAGGTTGCAACGCGATTTGAGAGCAAGATCTCTTTTAAGAGTCAGGTAGAGTTGGATACATCACATTTTCGATTTTGATGAAATTTCCAGGATATGTTTTTAAATAAAATTATCAGAAACATATTTTCTATCATTGCAAGAAAAAAAAATTTTCCTGGGTTTTGAGGGTCAAACTGAATATCCTCTGAAATTTTGAGAAAAACACATATATTTACATACAGTAACATTTTTCGTGAAATGAATGAATCACGGCACTGCACATTATTTTATGTTCGACTACTTCCACATTAACTAATACAACGAATACTTTCGGTGGACTTTTTCATCAAAGGTCATTCTGAAATCGTCGATATAAGGCTATTTTTTTAGACTTCGACCGTCGAAATCTACTAGTATCAACAGTGAACTACAAAGGTACATACTGTGATTACATACTAACGAGTATTACCAAAAAAAAAAGAATTAACGCAGGTGTGTTGTACATTTAGCGTGACCTTAATTACCTTGCAGTAGGAAGAAACTGAAATTTTGCACAACGCAAAGATAAAAAAACAAGTCTACTATTTTTACATAAAAAACATATTCAAAAAATTTCAACAAAATAAAAAATGTGAAATATCCAACATAGCCTGTTCTGCTCGATTTAAAAAAAAACTAATTCTGACTAGCCATGTTAGCTTTTTACACTTCCTTCCCGATTCTTTCATATCTGATGACTATCATATGTATTGGAAAAACACAATGTTTTTTATTTAAAATTACACCATATAATTGACTTTACAATCTACATAAACTTATGAAGATACTATAATTAAATAATGAATACCATGACCATGCTAAACTATAAAAAGATTTATGAAACCTAATGAGCTGAAATAAAAAGGTGAATACCAAGGGCTTTAGCTCCAAAGCAAATCATCATTACATCACTTCACAAAAAGTGAATAAAATTTTCAAACCAGAAAAATATGATTGATGAATTTATCGAACTTTTTGTAAAGTAACCTACAAAGATGGTGAATTCATAAAGGAGACTCCAATTCCCAAACAAGAATGCAATTTCCTCCTCTAATTCTCAATTATGAAAAATAACCAATATTTTACTATCTTTTTGACCGTAGATTACACCTATGATAAGAATAGGTGATTCTAGTACTGAAAACTTCAGTAAAAAGTGTCAAATGGAGGCACGCAAGTCTTACAAATAATTCATTATGTTGTTCCCTGTTGAATTATTACAAATAATTCAACAGTGAACTAGCATCCCAATATAACTTGAGAATATCGCCACTTCTTTGAGATTCTTTATAGAGTCCTGGGCATAAAAGTTCAGCATTCATTTTACCTGCTCTGTGTATTGACAATCCCTTATTGGAAGGATGCCAATGCTGTTTTGATGTTCTGGAAAATAATCCTGACCTGTTTTAAGTCTGAAATTATCAACGGATTCATTACTTACTATAGTCTTTCCATCTCTCCTGGATCATTTCCGAGCGTTTTCCTTTGGATAATAATTCTTGCTCTCTTCTGTGTGGTGCATTCATTTTATTGTGAATGTGCTTCTTTAAAAAAAATTGTAGAGAGTGGCAAAGTTAGCTGGTCTTCCTGTACACCCATCTTTGCTGAAGTGTCGACTTTTTCGTTACCGTTTCGTTCTTTAATGTGTCAGATGATACAAGATTCGGTTCGAGGGGTTCGTCGTAACTGCTTGTATTTCAGCTATTGAGTCTATCAAAATTACGGCCTTAGTAAAAAAAGTTGATGTTTTTAAAATGGCTGTTCATTGCCAGTGATATGGAATGCATTTCAGCTTCAAAACTAGACATGTATTTTCTCACGGGAGTGTGATGTGGTAACAGTTTGCTAAATACTCCAGGTCTTATTTTGGAGACATCTGTGTAAATTCTGATCCATTCAGGTTCTGTGTATTTCTCATCCAACATGCATAAAGAAGTGGTTCTCAAAATTGGATCTAGTGAATCTTTCTTGTTCAAATTGTCTATTTCTAGGCAATTTTTAATGAGCTTGTAGTTAAGAGTGTCTACTCGATTTGTATTTACGTCCATTAATTCTTTTACGTTCAATTCATCCAGAAACTTTTGACAACTCTTGATTGGAGAACAGAAACTGAAGTATGTCTGTTTTTGTGCCATTATTTGTGCTTTATTTTCATATTGTTTTGCTTTACTCGTAGTAACACAAAGTATACTCTAAATTTTCATTTGGATAAGTTGATGCAATCAGCCACTTTCAATTTGTCTTTTGGTGATTTTACATTTTGATTGCCCTAGAAATTATATGTAACTGAGCTGGTCTGTTTTTGAATTTATTTGATTAATTTTTGTTTATCTATAGGTGATTCCATCCAATCAACCACTAAGTGGACATGGATATAAAGGAATAATTACTTTTCGTTTCTGGAGATTCGGTCATTGGATTACAGTTTATGTTGACGATTTGCTACCAACTAAAAATAAAAAACTCATATTTTCAAGAAGTTCAGAACCAAGAGAATTTTGGGTATCACTCTTGGAAAAAGCTTACGCAAAGTAAGAATTAATGCTAATTTTAACACGCATTAATTTTTGCCAGTGAAAATAACCAAACATTTGAAATACTACTGTTAATTTAAGCATTATTTGAAAGAGTTTTCTAAATATCAAAGCTAACCATGCTTATAAGAATTGTCCATAGTATTGAAAAAATCAAATGTTTTCAAACCTATATTTCAAAAATTGCCAAATTTAAATTTAGAACCTTAATTTAAGATGATTAAATTTAAATGAACATATTAGGTTGTAAAAAAATATGTTTAAAGTAATAAAAATGAGATTCTTTTAATTTTTTTGTTTAAAAAAATTGAAAATAAAATTTTATATAAAAAACTTTAATTGAATACATTTTTCTTTATTCAAAATATGAATATTAGTGCTGAAAACTAATATTCCTTTGATCATTTAACATAACTGTTTAAAAAACTTATAATAAAAAAGTGTGTTTGAAAAGCGAAAATGTTGAATAAGCAAACTGATTAACCCTTGTTAGTGATGATTGAAAAAAATTAATTTTGGATATTGAAAACTTGCTTTTCAAGGACTCAACTATAAAAATGTATAGACTTTCGTCAGATCTACGATTTTATAGGTGATGCTTTGATGTGTCACACATTCAACCATTCACTACAAAAAGTCATATTATTTCAGTCATTCATATGAGCAATTCCTCTGTTTTGTTAGCTCAAGACGCGCATTATTTATATGCGCATATAAATAATTTATTCAAAAACATTTTTCAATACAGGATGTTCTGTAATCATTGTCTTTATTATATAGTTTTAAAATATTTCTCTATACATTAAGGTCGCAAATTAATATTAGAATGAAGAAAATAAATAACGAAACAAAAGCAATATAAAAATCTATTGAATGTAGTTAAAAAAGCGGATTGAAAAACATCAAAACCTGTTTAATTGTTGTAGGAAGAAAAAAGAAATGGAAAAGTGATTAATAGCAACATTGCCATCTTATATCCGGCAATCAAATCGGTTTGACTAATCGACATCAAAACCGACTTGATTGCCGGAAATAAGTTGGTAATGTTGCTAATAATCACTTTTCCATTTCTTTTTTTTTCTACAATTAAACATGTTTTGATGTTGAGAGACAGTCCCACTTTGTTCAGTTATAATTGTTGAGATATTGATAGCGTTTAAATATTTTCTTAGCTTAAGCTACAGAAATAGATCAAAAAAGTTTTAATTAGTTTTTTTATAAGATGGTTTAAAGAGTTCGTTTGGATTATCCCTGTGGTGGATTAACACATATTTTAAACATTTTTCTGGGTTGTGCACAACAATATCTTAACATGCGTTGTTTGTGTATGTCATCATGGTTATGTTTATATGCAGATACTAATGACCTTGTAATGTTTTGTAGATTGCATGGCTCATATGAGGCATTAGAAGGTGGACAATCTATGGATGCATTAGTAGATTTAACAGGAGGTTTAGCCGAAATGTATGTGTTGGAATCAGCACCACCTCATCTTTACAATATTTTACTCGTAGCATCAACATCTGGAGCTTTCATTACATGTTCTAGGAAAGTAAGTTGAGAAGTTAAACATTATTGAAAATTTGGGCTGTTCTTGCTTACAATTTATTTAGTCCTAAAATTATTCAGATAATTTATTCACTAAGTAATTCCAAGAAATAAAACAACTAATTTCACTTATTACTCCACTTTGTAATATATTCATCCATTTTACACAGATAAAGGACAAATATAGAATATTTTTAGTTGCATAGTCAAGCAAAAAAGTCTATGTAAGTTTTGTAAAATCGTTTTCTTTATTTAAAAAAAAATCTTACAATCTTTCTCTAATAGTTTTAAAAAAATGTAAATATGTTTGAATATTGACATAAAATAAACAATTAATTTTACCACCAAAAAATGCATTCACTATGAGGAAATCATGTACGTTTAAATGTTTTTTTTTTTTTTTTTTTTTTTTTGCATTAGATATTGCTAATATTGTTAGTATAAAATATTTAGTGTAGTTTTTGTGCGCCCCACTGAAATAAAGCTACCTTAATTATCTGTCGTAACTGAACACAAGGCAAATCAATGAGAGTGCAACATATATTATATTAGCAATTAAGAAAGACTATATACAAATATATACTTACAAGGGGTAACTCACTTTCTGCTTTACCTGAACAGGAAAAAAAAATTGAATACGTAAAAATGAAAAAGTGTTCTACTGAAATAAAGCCACTACTGCCAGGGCCCGACTTAGCCTAATTGGGGCCGGGGGCAAAAACTTCGTTGACCCCCCCCCCTGCTTCACTACCTCAGTAATGAGGAATTGAACTTTATGGAGGTAGTAGAGCGCCGATTATCCGAACGTCTAATTATCCGAACTATGTCTGCATTTGCTTTTTTTTTAAAAAAAAAAGTTTAGAATTCTATTCAACTTATCAACAATTTTTCTAAATTTCTGAACCAGTAGATCTTCTGGCTGAAAAAATGCCAGGTTATGCAGCAGAATAAATAGAAGACAGGTGTCGAGACACTGACAACGTCCCAGGATTTCAAATTTTAAATGATGATGAAATTGTTGCTGAAATTTTGAAAGAAAATCGGAACTCCACAGACGAAGAAGTAGGTGATCAAGTTCAAGATAGTGGACCTTCTCATATAGAAGCATGCAATTCATTAGATATTGCAATGAACTGGCTAGAACGTCAAAATGATGTTGATCCAGTTCAGTTGATTTATTTAAAAAGAATAAGGAATACGGCTGCTCAAAAAAAAGCAACTTCTTTGAAACAAAAGTCTTTGCTGGATTTCTTTTGCAATGGAAAATAAGAAGAAATCAGTAATTGACAAAAAAAAAATTATAAAAGCTGAAACATGATAAAAAAAAATTCAAAATGAAAAAAAAAAGTTAAAAAAAAATTATTACAAAATATTTAAAAATTAAAGAAAAACAAAATTTAAACAGAGCTATTTTAGATAGTACTGCCAATCCTAAACCTGTAAAAAGTGTGAAGGGAAGTTAGTGCATAAATAATAATCATTTAAACTAGATTTTAAACAACTTTCCAATTATCCGAACCACGTTCGGTCCCGAGCAGTTCGGATTATCGGCGCTCCATATTTAAATTTTTTAATTTAATTATATATATATAACAAGAAAATTGACTAGAACCTAAAATAGCTATAATGTCCCCCCTCCCTCTAATGGTCAGGCGAATTATCGTTCGGTCCATTTTATAGATTTTCTGACAATTCTATGTCAATCATGCCGAATCCAGGTTTCTGATTGTTAACTTTGTCATCTAGCTGCAAAATATGCATATCCTTGCTGACATTAGGGAGGAATTCAGCTAAATTTTCACAGCTACATGACTCACTTAAGCCAATCAAAATCCTGTATTTTTGTAAACACATCGCATTTTGCTATATTTAAAAATACAGGCTTTTGATTAGTCAAATTTGTCCACTGTAATTGCTTAAATTTAGCTGAATTTCGCACTAGAAAGCCATGGATTTACGAAATATAGATTTTTGTGTTCATACGATAGACTAATGAAGAAGCTAACATAAAACTGACGGATTTTACACCGTACTGATATTTTGTTTAAAAAAAAAGTTCATTAATGAAGGAAACCTAAAATAAACTTTCAGTTCGATTTGGGGCCCCCCTCTGATGTGGGGCCCAGGGCAATTGTCCCATATACCCCTGTCTTTATCAGGCACTGACTACTGCTAATAGGAGATATATCCACCATGTTAACAAATGAATTAGAATATACAATGTTGAATATCATCATTTACTAGCCCAAGGAGGACTGTAGCATGAATATTATCCAATATTTCAATAATGGCAGTCTTCAATTCTACAACAGACTGAAACTACAGAAAGGTTATTCCATAACATGTGCTTTATCATCCAAAAACAATTATTATGGCAATGTTGTAAAGTGAATGTAGGTATTGTCTGACTGGAATATCCAATTCGGGTCACTCATTCCTTGTAAATATCTATTTGTGTATGAACTTTTGTAATACATGTTTCCTTTTCATTAGTTTATTTCATGTTCAGTTACATCATTCAATCAAAGTGGCTTTCAAAACTTATTTAGGTGAACCAATTTTTAGGTATTTTAACTCTTATAATCTTAGTTTTTGCTCAACAGTTTAGATTTATTAATCATCTCTAGAAAAGTGTGATCAAAAAATGTAGAAGTATAAAAAATGCTTTTTACCCTCTATTAAAACTACAGGCTAAAATCAAATAATATGTGAGACATTTAAACAAAAAATTCCACTTGCAATAAATCAAACCTTTATTTTTTAGGGAGACTGGATGGAATCGCTGAAAGCTGATCCAAATGGTTTAGTATCTGGTCATGCTTATACAATAAGTGCTGTTGCAATAGTTAGTGTCTTTCAATTCAGATTTAAGTTTACAATAATTATTTATTTATTTATCTTGATATCATTACTATTTTTATTTCTCAAATTGCACAGCTAGTACAGCATTTTTATAACCATCAAAATTGTATGAATTAAGAATTTAATGAGATAAACACAATGCTCTTTTTTCTTACAATGTATAATATTTTTTTAGAAATTTTGGTTGCAAATTTTTCAATGAGCAAACAAATTGAGGACTTTACTGAGTGTCACGAAAGTGATTGATGATTTGAAAATTTAATCAAAGAAAAACAGAAGGAAATGGAGATTTATGGTTTACTGCATTCCACTTGGAATTTACTCTCCCCAAATCTTAAAATTTTTTGAAAAGTTCATCAACAAGTGGTGTTGTTTAAAGAGGGGGAAAAAACAACAAAGATTTTGAAATTACCATAACACAGTAAACCATAGATTTCTATTGTCTTCCGTTCTGCAATAAAAATTTTAAATAGTCAGTCATTTTGGGGATACCTGACCTTATTATAAGAATAACTCCAGTAGAGATAATTTTTAAAAATAAGTTTACTCAATCTTACTAACTTAGAAAATTGTAAACAATTATTTAATATGGTGACCAGAATGATTTCTGATATAAATACCAACAATTAATTAAAAATCTTCTAGCATTAACTTGTAAGATTTTTTTTGTTTACAAAATATAACTCTTTTGCACATGTTCCAGGTATATATAGTTTTCATCCAAAGTATAAAACTGAAGACATGATAGGAAAACAAATGAAATTTTTATCCTGACTGCTTCAAATAATTTTTGCTACCTCTTTTAGCAGCAAAGATTCTTTACAAAACTAAATCACTACTTTCCAAATAAAAAACATTATATATGAATTACGCACATTCTACTTTGTATTTTATTTTAATATTTTACAAATATTTTTATCACAAATTTCAAATAACCTTTCATCACAAATTAACAATTTTTTAACGGACCTGTTTTGAAAATATTTCTTCCCATTTTGTTCTTTTCTGGTAATTCCTTTTTTAAAGAAGAAAAGGAATTGGTTGTTAAACATTTACTTCTGCAGCAGAACAAATTATTTAAAAATATAATAAATAAATATTGTAATAACTGTAAAATATTGCATTACAAAAAGTTACAAATCCTATCAAATCTGTTTATATTACTTTTTTATTTACAAATATACATTTTTAGAAGCAATTTAAAATAAATTTTATGCAAAAATATTATAAATGTGATTTTCTTTTGGAGAATTAAAAGAAAATATAGTTTCTGATATTTTTCTCAGTATATAGGTGATTAAGTCTTTCAAAATATATTGATAAAAATGTTCTTAGTAATATTGAAAAATTACATTGCTGTAAGTTGAAATGAAAGAATGGAATGAATGCTTTTGAGAATTAGCTATGAACACAGAAAAATAAGAGTGTTGTTAAGGCAGCAAAATTAGTAATAAAATTCAAAGCATTCAATAAATACCTTTTTATATTTTCGAAAAAAAAGTATTGAATTATGTTTCTTGCACACACAAAATAAAATAATAATAAAAAATTTTAAAATATGTATAATAATATAAATATTATAATAAATAAATAATATGTAATTACGTATAATAAATAAAAATTCAGAAAGAACCTCATTCTCAAAACAAAAAATATATATATATATATTGTTTCATGAAAGAAAATTTTTTTCTTCGTCTTACTGTAAAAGTACAGTGCCCCCCCCCCAAAAAAAAGAAAACGGAAAATCCTAAATAACTTTTGATCTAATGATCAAATTTCACGCTCTAGGTCAAAATCTTAATGGTTTGAGGGGGTGACATCAAATATGCTTACTAAATAGTGCAGACTATACTCATACAAGATACTCACACAGACGATACTTTCTCTGAATAAATATACCCTTTTTTTGACGGATTCCAGATCCCCAAAATATGGGGGGTAGCCACAATCTTGGAAATATGGTCCCCGTTGTTTGGTCAGAAGAGCGATCCAAAGTTTGGGCCACTTAATGATAATTTTACTTTTTGGGTATTTTGTCATGTCTCGAGAAAATTTTAAGCGAATTGAAAAATTTTTGCTCCCAATTATAAAATTCATTTGCCATGCAAAAAAGAAATTTTAGCAAATATTTATAATTATTTTATTTAATAATAGTTTAAATTTTTTTAAACTGTAAGGCATACATTTTCTGATATCATTTTAAAGTAGGTAATTTTACATGGCGATATACAAAATTTGAGCGAAATTGGTTGAACAGTTCCTAAGAAATCAAATTTTCAAAAAGTAGTATATTTAAAATTTGATTTCTCAGGAACTATACAACAGATTTTGCTCAAATTTTGTATTTCGTCATGTTAAATTACTTACTTTAAGATAATGCAAGAAATTGTAAAACTTACTATTAAATTTTTTTATTACTATTATTAAATAAAATAATAAAAAATAAATATTTCCTAAAATTTAGTTTTTACAAGGAATTATCTTTGGACAAATGAATTTAATAATTTGGTGCAAAATTTTTTCATTTAGCTTAATTGAAAAGTTCTTGAGATATGGTGAAATATACAAAAAGTAAAATTACCATAAAGAGGGACTTAAACTTTGGATCGCTTCTCTGACCAAACTATGGGATCATATTTCCAAGATTGCGACTACACCTTATATTTTGGGGGTCAGAAAACCGAATCCGTCAAAAAAGGTAAATTTATTCATAGAAAGTATATTTTTGTGTCTGATTTCGTAACTTAAAAGACGGTCAGCACCCATTAATTAGCATCCTGCAGACCATGAAGATCGAGTCCTAGAACATGAAGATCCATCCGATCACTTGATCAAAAGTTATTCAGGGTGGTCATTTTTTTCTTTTTGATCCCCCCCCCCTGTACATATTATTCTATGATTAGATAAATGAATAAATTATAAATTAGATAAATGAATAAATTCTAGTTCATTCTCTTTTACAGCTTCATTTTTTAAACATTATTTTTTTTAAGTAATCAAAATTTGATTTTCAAAAATAGAAATCAATTTCAAATATAATGAATAAATTCTAGTTCATTCTCTTTTACAGCTTTATTTTTTAACATTATTTTTATTAAATAATTAAAATTTGATTTTCAAAAATAGAAATCAATTTCAAATAAATAAGTTTTAATATGAAGAGAATGAATTTCAAGACGGAAGAATGAGTTTCAACACTTCGCAAAAAAACATTTCAGACTGTTAGGAAATACAAAATTCTCAATTTTTAAGTTTTTTTTAAACACATCATAGTAGAACGAAAAAAAATTAAAAACACTTAAATTTGTTCTACTTAAGTTACCCCCATATATTTTTGAGGTATAGTTTGAAATAAATATAAATTTAACAATATGAATAATTCACAACCACCTTTTTTCTAATAGGTAAAGCTCAGCACAGGTTCAGAAGCATATTTAATACGTATACGAAATCCCTGGGGTAATGATACAGAGTGGAATGGACAATGGAACGACAGGTAAATAGAAAACTTTTAATTTATATAAATACCAGGATAATTTCATCATGATATATTTTTGATCAGTTCTATTGAAATAAAAAGAATTAAGACTAAGAAATGAAGTTTCATTTATTTGATCATAAATGATGTTTCTAATATTATACTTAAGCTGCTATAAACTCTTAATGTTTTAGAAGATACAAATATTGGATAAATCCTATTCCTTATGAAAGAAGTAATTTCGAATGGGAAAAAGATTCACTGAGGAAAATTTTAGCTTCAGAATGAGTGTTGTTAAAAAATTATCGTTGATAGTTTTTGAGTTCAACCTAGTTGCGGTAACTTGCTGTTACACAAATAAAAAAAAATATAAATAAATGAATAATAAAAAATAAAGCACGTTACAACTTATTACCTATTTATTTTATTTTATTTATTTTCAGTTTGCTTATTTTTATTTATTTATTTTACATATTATTTATGACAAAAAAAAACTGTATATAAAGTAAAAACATGACTCCCTCCCTGCCAAAAAAAATTCTTTAAAGGAAAGAAAAAAAAGAGAGAGAGAAAATGTAGTTCCTAACTGTATATATTAGATAAATAAGTTGTTTAAACTAAATATCATGGATCAAAATATCAACACATAAGAGTACACAACATCAACATGAATAAAGAGTTTTAAAAAAAATTCTAATGAATTGATTAAATTGCTGAAAATTTCTTCGGCATGGATAACATGAGCTGTTTCTACCATGAGCAAAACTTTCATTACCTTTTAAAATTAAAGTTTAAGTGTTTCACTTTTACCAGAAAATTCCTAATAAAAGAAACCAACTGCTTTAAAAAAAATTGTAAGTTCAGAAATTAAACTATCTGAAAATCAATGAACATTCATAATAAATAGCGTAAATAGGGAGAAACTAGTATAAAATTAAAAACTAATTGGGTAAAGAGCATCAATTTAAGAAAAGAAAGAAACATCCATGCAAATCTTAAAAAAGTTCTTGAATCAAATTAAATAAATCTTCTACTGGCGGCTGAGTCAGCCAATCTGGTATACCTCCTATATAAGCTATTAGCGAAGCTACCCTCCCTGAGGCAGGCAGAGGAGATCTTACTGAGACTTCGTGGAGAACGGTTGTGTTATAACCAATCTCCATCACTAAAATGGCGTCTTATCACAGATTTGGCCGCGGCGGCAAAAGAATGTCTAACCCAAAGCCTTATCCCACTCTCGACCTAGTTAAGATCAAGGAGGTGAGCCAAAATTATGCCAGCGAAATGCAATATTATGCGAAATAGCAACTTCAGATAACATTGACAGAGTGATCAGAATGCAACGAAACGTCATCGCTGAAATTTCTGAAAAACTCGACAGAGGACGGAGACTCAACGAACAAGAGAATGAAAATCAGCATCGATGTGCATTTATGCTTGAACGATACTTGGAAATTAAGGAAAAATGGACTACTGAGGAAACAACAACGCCAGTGTTAACTGAAAAGATGGAAACATTAACCGAGCCAAATATTCCCCAGAAGACCTAGAACTTGATTCCAGTTGAAAAGCTTGATACTCCCACTCCAAACACTGCAAGGCCCTTTTTATGGCCAGAAACTACAGACTCAAACACCATCCCAGAGACTGATTCACAACCACAGAATTCCACCGATATGGAAAATACTGCTACTTCTGCTCTGAAACGGAGAAAGAACAAGAAGATGAAAACTTGCGACAACTCGGCGTCACAAGTCATGAAACACCGGACGGTGATAACACCCAGCCTGAACCAACTCCTACTCCAGCAACACCTGTGGAACCAGTACCGATGGAACGTGAGAAAGAACCCGAAGCCCAGGCGACGGCAGACCCTCCCGATTCCACTTCAACACCTAAGGACTCTTCACCGAGTAGAAAATTGAAAACCCTCATAAGAGGATTAAAGACTGATTCTGAAATTCCTGAATTGGAGAAATACCTAAAAGAATTTGGACTTTTTCCCGAGAAAATTGTACAACTCAAGAGGAGAAGCGCCCAGGGCCTTAGGCCCCATCAGTTTTCATCATCATCCAATTAGATATCAGAGTCAACAGAAACATCTTTAACATCAGTTCTATGCTAGAGAGAAAAGTACAGAGAGAGCGTTTCCGAGGGGGACGTTTTCTAATTCAATGCTACAGATGCCAAAAATTTGGACATACCCAGCGTAGCTGTACAGTGGATCCCGCCTGCCTAAAGTNGTGCTAAAGCCCATTACTCGAATGAATGCACGAAACCTATCTCAGAACCGGCGACCTGCGTCAACTACAACGGTGAGCACCCGGCTTGTTTTACGGGCTGTGGTGTGTCCAAAGGAAAAAAAAGACTCTTCCCAAGAAAACAACTAATTCTGCTAGTCGTTTTTTAAGACTTTTTACTTAGATGAAAGAACTCTTGAAAGATGAAGAGCTTGTTAAGCTTCTTCGATCCCTGCTACCAGAGACTTAGATGATCGGCCAGCATCCAGGAAGCCACGCCTTCTCAGCTTTTTTGTTTTTTGTAATTGCAGCTAGCTGTGATATTTTTTCTTTAACAGATTCTCTTCCTCTCTTAGGAGCGGATAGTGACAGAATCTTCATCATAGATCGATCCAACATCCGATGAATCGGTTTAAGTCATCTACGCGGCTGTGCACCGAGCTACATGTAATTTCTAACATTCTACCCTCCCTGAAATGCACTATTCTTGCTTCCATAGCAGCAGACAGCTTCAGGCTTTGTGGTGGGGGGAGTTCTTACTATAGACAAGATATATTAAATAATAAGAAGTAACATAAACATTTTATTGCAGTGATAGTAACTGGCAGAATGTTGATTCAAATACCAAGGCAAGAATAGATTACAGTAAGAGAGGAGATGGAGAATTCTGGATGAGCTTTCAAGATTTTTGTCGTGAATTTGAAGAAGTAACGATATGCAGTCTTACTCCTGATTTATGTCAACCAACTTCAGTCTCAAATAATACACTTTGGGTAATAATTTTACATTGAATTATCTCTTTTTTGATGTAATAATTTTGCGAAGCAGTTTATTTGGCAAATCATAGATTATTGCCACACCCATTGAATGATAATATATATTTTTTTTAAAAATTCCATCTATCTACTTATAAAAGAAAATAACTTTGATCACTTACAGGTGGCAGATAAATTACTTCATACTATCTAAGCTGTTTTTAAAAGAAAAATCAAGATAATTATTTTTATGTTTATTTTTATATAATTATTAAATTTATAATTTAATTTTTTTGATCTAATGTTTTTTTGTAAGGAAAAAATATTAAAACTAAGGCTATATATATAGTATAAGAAAATATCAATTTAAACGATCTTACCTATCATTGGCACAATAACAATGTAAATATTTACCTATAAATAGAAAATTTGATAAAGTAAGGTTTCACATTTCATTTCATATACATTTCCATCATTATGTAAGATGCTCAGTAATCACCACATCTAAAATAGATTTTTTCTCTATCAAAAAATGATACACTTTCAAATTTTATCAGGCTATTCAGCTAGTTTAGATGGTTTTAGTCTCTCCTTAATAGTAATTCATCAGACTTTAGTTCTTCTCACTTACGTATAATCTTTAAGGTGAAATTTTATCTCATACGTTTCGTGTGTAGCTTTCAGCTAGGTGTCATTTAAATTCTCTGCATAATATTTTGAAATTATTTTTAACGCACATATAACTGTCCCTTAATTTTTAACAAGGATGCAAATACATAAATCAAGAATAATTATTATGGAACACTTAATAGATTATGCTTTCAATAAGTAGAATTTCAATTCAAAGCTTATATTTGCTGCATTTGCTTTCTGCATTTTCTATAATAACCTGTAATATTAACCATAAGTTTTAACATACAATACTCATAGACAATAATATATTCATACTATTTTTCACACTTATAAATACATAATTGAAGTTTTGAAAGTGATAAAATTTCACTTTATTAACATAATGTAGAGGGATTTATTAAAAAGTCTACTAATAAAAGTAGAAGTAAAATTATTTTAGGTCCCCAGAACAATATACTATTGTGCCACTTAGTATAACAAAGAAATACTTAAATATTTAATAAGCAATTTTTTTTAAAAATCCTTTAACTGTTAGTATGATATATCAAATACAGGAATTTTACAGACCTTCAAAAAATTTTTGCTAGAAAAAAAACTAAACTAAGGCATTATGTGGGCAAATCATAAAAATGGGTCTTAACTGTTCCTTCCACATCATTGTAAAATATTTTTAACTAACTTCCTTTTTTTTTTCCTGCTTCAGTAGGGATATTATTTTTTGAAAATGATTTCTTAGGCATCCAGAAAAGATTTTTAAGAAAGGAAAATATTAATAAATAACAAAATTATTTAAGTAAAAAAAGAAGGCTTATGAAGTTTTTACTTTCAACAATAATATGAAATTAAAAACTTACATACATTAAGATCTTTCTTCCCCCCCTCCCAATAAAAGCAAAGTAATAATCTATTTCTCAACCTTAGAATGATACTTACATTTTTCTTTAGCCAGAAAAAAAAATAAGATCAAGGTGTTATATACATTACACAGTAAATTAATATTTAATTGTCTCTTTTGCTACCAAATTTGTTTACCAAAATGCATTTTCTGAACTATACATATATTTACCTATCATTATGGAACTAAACTGTATATATTAACCTGTAATTGGTTATATACAATATTATTATAAAAAATATACTCCTATCAATTTTCATAACTATAGAGGAAATAGAGACAATTTAAAGGTTTGAAGTTATAAATTCAATATAAATCAGCTGAGACAAAGATTTAGTCTAGACGTTTATGAATAGTAGAAAATAAATTAATGAGAGATTTCTTGTACTTCAGTCCAAAAATGTATAAGGAGACATGAAATTCAACCCAAATTTTGTTTTCAGTCACACAAATGCAAAAATCTTCATTACATTTCTAAATATCGCCAAAGTTTTCTTTAAAGCGCTCAGAGAAATTGCCTGACCATCACAGAGAGAAATGTCTTTTAATTCTCACTTAAAAAAACTTGGCTTTCACTTAGCAGATTGAACAATTAATGAAGTGGTAGCACACAAAGTAAATTGATCAATATTGACGAATTTTACTCATTCATCTAACAATTAATAATAATAAAAATAATTAGAATATAATCTTATTTATAGATTTTGATCAAGTGTGAAGCTTAAAAAGGAATAATTTTGTTGCGATCATCATATAAGTATCATATTGTGAATATGATACTTAGCTTTTTGATTATAATAATATTTAAAAAATGATTTCTTATTTTTACTTTACTCATAAAGCTTTAAAAATAATGACCACAAAAATATAAGTTGAAACTCACACTTTATCACTAACTCACACCATTTTATTGTTTCAATATTTAAAAATTATTTTGCGAATAAAACAGCTTTTAAATTATCTTTATAAATGGTATGAAAGCATTGTATCATTGTGCAAAAACATTGTAAAACAATTTATTTAAAAATTATTTGATATGACTCATAAGATTTAAACTTTTTTTTTTAAATACAAAATAAGGAAGGTTCACAGCAAGCTACTTTCACAAAAACTATCTATGGAAGATGGGAAGAAGGTAAAAGTTGTGGAGGTTCTCGAAATAATCTTGTTTCTTTTGCTACAAATCCACAGTTCCTGTTAACTCTTTCAAGTAAGAAGTTACATTTTTCCATCTTATGATATACAGGGTAATCACCATTTGCTAAAATGTTTTGAATTATAGTGACTGCAACTAATAAAATTAGCCGTTTTTAAAATTATATCTGCAAGAATGAAATCATTACAATATAAAAAACCATCCTTTTATAAAATCATGTTAGCCATTTTTTAAAATCAAATTTTCGTAAAGTAGTTGCTTAAAATAATCAATAACTCTGCTTTTTATTTCTATATATTCATGTTTTAAAAGCATATAAATATCAAATGATAGTGTGGCAACTACGCATAAAAAGAAAAATAACAAGAGTAGATTACATTTCTTAGGGATATTGAAGGGTGAGAATTAAAAAATTATGAAACTGGGAGTATAAAGGAACTATACTGAAAAGTATTTATGAATTAAGAAAAATTATAAAATGTCGATCATTATTCAAAGTTAATGATCATTACTCTTTCAATTACTCATAAGGTAAATCTATTTTTAATAGATGTCAGAAAGCACTTGATATTTTTACAGCAAAGAAAAAGAAGTATTGAAAGATACAAAAAATTTTATTAACTAGCAAATTAATTATATTGTAATATTGATTATTGCAAACTATGCTCCCTAGTATGACCCCATAACAGCAACCTTTCCATTATAACGACTGATGAATAAAGACTTATTTACTATCCCATAGATGCTAGGCACGTTATTTTAATGTTTAATTTATTTAATCAATGGACATGGAACACTTAACTATAGTGTTTTAATTTTGTTCCTATGATTATTTAAATTTTTTATCTTTAATCTCAAAGATCTTTGCAAACAATATATAGCATATTTTTTTCTTTTCCTTTAGCCCCGGAAAGTCGAAAAGATGATAAATGTAACATTGTTGTGGCTCTTATGCAATTAAGACGTCGTTGTGTTCGACATCCACAAAGAAAAATGTTACAAATAGCTTTTGTGATTTTCAAAGTAAGTAACTATTCCTAATAAATTTTTATTGATTTTTTTATTTCTACAAAATAATAAGTTTTTGATTATTAGATATTTTGCTTATTCATATGAAATAATATTACGGCAATAAGATGTTACAAATATATTTTTAAATATTTCTTAAAACAAGTAACCTCATCAGAAGTGAAACACTAATAAAGAGATTTATTATAGAATGAGTTTGCAGTGATAAATTTTTTGGTTATAAATTGTTCTCTCAATATTTATATCTGTAATTTGAATATTTGTTTTATTCTGATGATGATGGTATTTGTTTACAGTCCCAGAACAACTGTCTTTTTTGCATATGCTTTAGAATAGTGTTTCTCTAGAATTTCTTTTTTTGCAGAATTAATAAAAATTGAAAATTTTCAGTGACTTATGCAGTGAAAGGTATTTCACTTTTCTGTGGTCCATTTTTGCTACCAAACATTAGCTTAGCAACATTTCAAATATTTAACAGAGACAACAGAAATAAATTATTTTTTGGAGAATATTAATCGTGAATTTAATTATTTATTTATAGCATTTTTATTAAATTTTTCTAAAGAAATTTTTTATTATTTACTACTATTAAATTTTTTTCTTTTAATAAGGTAAAACAAGCTATAAGGCAGACCTTGCAAGATTTTTTAAGTATTGAAGAAGTTGGAAATTCTGGACCTTATGTTAACTACAGGGAAGTTTTTGGTCGATTTCAAATGAAATCCGGGAATTACGTTATTGTTCCAGCAGTTTTTGAAGCAAATGCTCCAGGATCTTTTTACATCAGAGTTTATGCTGACACTCACATTTTATTAAAGTATGCATTGATTACCATATTCAAACATTTAAAAGATAAAAGTATGGTGTATAATTGAATGTTCTAATGTCCCATCTAAACAAGTGCAGTGATTCTGATAAAAATTCGAACATATTTCTCCTTTTATTAAAAATTTTCTATTGTGTTAAATTATACTAAAGTCAAACTATCTTTAGACAAATAATCTCAGAAATGCATTTTATTATGAAAGTTGGGACAAATTTTAATCTAGTGTGTGTCTATATATATATATAACAAAATTATTTAAG